ATAAACAGATACGGATCAATATCAACATTAGTCATTTTTCTTCATCTTTCTTATTTCACATTTTTATTATAAAATCAATATATGGAATCGGATAAAATAAAGACATTTCATCGTTTAAATCGTTATAGATGCATAGCGATTTAGATAAACCTATATGTAAGTATTTACAATCATGACAATACACAATGAAGTGATGGCACTAGTTTTATTCACATAATGACCCTCCGACGCCATTGCTCGCATACATATTTTACAGTTGTCTCTAGGCCGGACGCAAAAAATCAAGGTAATATCCTTAAACTTTGAAACTGAAAGCAGAAATAGAACGGAAACGAATTTTAAAAAGAATATATTTTTTCCAGACGAATAGGAAAAGAAAGTAATTTGTAGCGATTCTTATCAATGTAGCTCGCATATATGCACGTAACTAAGGCAATACAAAAATGGTTTATTCCCGATTGTCCCACTTTTTAAAATTTTAGAGTTCTGATTGTCCCACATGAAAAGTTCTGATTGTCCCACATTATTTTATGAAGTAAAATGTTCTTAGATAAACAATGTAACTGTTGTTTGTTTTGCTAAATAAACAAGGATTAATTTATTGCACATTTAATATTAATTTTATAGAGATATAAAAAAAATGTTTTTTAAATCATTAGATTAATGCACTTTTGATTAAAAAAATTTTATTTCTAATTTATGAAATATATCTACAGTGTTACGTTATTTATAAAACAAATTTCATTACCGTAATTTTAATTACATTTTCTCTATACAGTTTTTGAATAAATAATGCATGCAATTAAAAAAAAAAAGGTATAAACTCATTTACATTCTACACTTTACACGAACTTGTTGATGGAGAGATTTTTCCAGAAGTCTTTACAATTTTACTAGGGAAGTCAGAGGACATTAATACAACATTCTCTGCACTATTGAAGACTGCTAACACCCAACGTCAGATTCACCTGAACCCAACAACTTCCTTTTTTTGATAACGAAGCTGTTGTCTAGAATTCTGCCAGATCAGCCTTTCTAAGAATCAATATCAAAGGTTGTTTTTCCAATATTCCCAGTGTCTTTGCCATAAAGTGCAGTCAACAGGACTCGTCACCAACTATAAAGAAGAACCAGACTTCCATAAAAAAAAAGATGTGGTATGATTGCCAATGAGACAACTCTCCAAAAAAGACTAAATGACACAGAAATTAACAACTATAGGTCACAATACGGCCTTCAACAATGAACAAAGCCCATACAGCAGAGTCAGCTTTAAAGGTCCCATATAAAAAATGTAAAAAAATTCAAACTAGAAAAACTAACGACCTAATTTATGTACAAAATAATGAACGAAAAACAAATGTGTTAAACAGTAACAAACGACAACCACTGAATTACAGGCTCCTGACTTGGGACAGACACATACAGAACGTGGCGGGGTTAAACTTATTTGAAGGCGCCAATCCTCCCACTAACCTGGGACAGTGTTGTAACAGTACAACATAAGAATAAACTAAAAATAATAAGTTGAAAAAGGCTTATCTCATCAGATGGGTACAGACAGAAATACATCTAACAAATCACAGAGTGGACATGGACGTGGACGGCTACTTATACATCCCCACAACAAAGACACTAAGTGCAGATCTTAGAGTATTCGCAGTTACTGACAGCTAGTTCAAAGCCAATAAAAACTAATTAAAAAAATCATGCATCTTTATGATTTCATATTATATTCCATGTTTGATACTTTGTTCATGGTTTTTTTCATATTTTATAAGTTACAGTGATTAGTAACCTGTAATTAACTGATACAGACTATAAAAACAAATTAATCACTATCAAAACAATTCCCAATTGTCCCACATTTAAAATTCCCAATTGTCCCACAAACATATTCCCGATTGTCCCACAAAATGTCATTACTTTTTTACCTGTAATTTCAAAAAGTGGGACAATCGGGAAGACACCACAAAAATCACTATGACATTGAAAGTAATTAAGAACACGCAAAAAAGCTTTTACCTAAAATTTTGTAGTAGACAAAGATGGCATTCCATTTTTATGTTGAAATAAAAGGTTCGTTAGAAAATGTCTTGTCAATTTTTACAAAAAAACAAAAACCATAACCGCACCTAGAGGATAATAGGTAAACATTACAGAATAAAGCGCCAAAAAATAAAGAATAGAGAATAATAGCCAAAAAGTGCAAAATAGAGATAAATGGTTTAAAATAAAGGAATAAAGAAAGAAATGCCCCCATCAAGAACACTCTTATATGCATGCTTTATTCCACGACCCGAAATTCTTGATAGGAAAGATGCAAAACATTTGTCAATGTATACTATGTTACTTGCTATAGAAATGTAGTTTAAGAATGAAACGTTGTGATAAAAAGGAAAATTTAAAAACCATTTGTGAAGGTAATCTAATGTTTTAATTTAGGGTTAGGTTTGGAATTCTGATAAGTGTTAGGGACCATGCAATATTTATCAGGCAGGCAGGTAGAACAGGGGCAAACCACAGTAGGACAAACACATTGTGTATCCACTTCAGGCATAGGGTCTCTACTTTTTCACCTTTGGTGATCATAGGACATGCAGATTTATTCAAACTATTGCTAAATAGCCCAAATCAGTATAGGACATTCACTTTTTTTTGTCATAACCGGTCTCACCTGCCTGATACATATTGCACGGTCCCTTAGGGTAAGGTATTGATTATAGTTAGTTACCAAAAAATGTTTTGTCTTGATAATTTGTTAGGTTAGGTTAACATGGTTAAATATTATTGGAAATTGAATAACATAGTCGTTTATTTGAATTTTTGTTATATTCTTTCATTGTTAATTAGTCCAAGGAAGCTGAATCAATCAACGGAGCATTAACAACTTTCAGATGAAAGTTAATGCACTGTTCTAAGCTCTTCCTATTCATTGCGTTTCCTTTAACAAACAGTCAACAGCGGAATTGGATAGTGCGAAAACTGAAAAACGTCCATTTAATGCACTTTTCTAAATATCACAAAGTTAACCCACTCGAAGATCAAAGGGAACATTACCTTTCATGTTACACTACCTGTTTTTGCACAGCATGACACTCGTCTAAAAATATTGAATGACAAAGCACAATTTAGGAAATTTCCTGTATTTCCTCAATGTTTTCTTACTTTTCGATAGATATATGCGTGGATATATAAATAACATAAAAAGGTAAGCTTTATAAAAACTTCCGCGTTAATTGACGTTACTGATAACACGAAAAACATTTACAATTTAAATAAATATAGTTATGATAATAGAAGAATGTTGATATATAAATTTTGGCGAAGACTTCCTTTAGAAATTTTAATTTTACCGGAAGAATTATACCGTTTGTGATTGTACATTTCATTCATATTTTGCAGTCATCGAAATGAAAATCATATTTTTTTGGATGAATTTAATATTTTACTTGCTATTCGTTGTTTTAAAGATAAGTATATAAAAATCTAGTATATTTTTATTTTCATTTTCATTTTCTTTTCATTTTCTTTTATCATGTTTATCTATGTCAATATACATGATATAAGAAAATGTATATTGTTTTTATCCAGCAATTTAAGCTTTGGATAAATTTATTGGTTTTTCAATTTTTGAATCAGTTCTGGATTCTCAGATAGTATGCACGTGACCTCGAACATCACCGAAGAGACATTTGTTGTCGAAATGTGCATCTGGTGCAGTAAAATAAGTACCGTTACTCTTATCAAGAAAGGCTCTAAGATGTGCAGTAATTAATTCCAAATAGTTCATTTTTTAAATGAAATTGACAATAAATGGACTTCTACCTCGAGACTCCTACGTACCGCAACTTCAAACTGAATTACTACGTACAGTAAAACAGTAATTTGAATGTCATCGTTCGGTCTTAAGAAAGGCAGGATAACAGGAGATAAAAAGAATGTCGCATAAAAAATAAGAAAATGTGGTATGATTGCCAATTCAGCGTGACAACTATCCAATAGAGATACAACGACGTAGATGTTAATAACTATAGGTCATCGTAAGGTCATCAATAATGACCACACGCCCTATTGTATAGAAATAGAAATAGAAATAGAATATTCTTTATTTAACCAATCATGGAACTTTGCGGGTTTTAAATTTCATACAATGATTTGTTTATGACAGTAAAATAATAAAAGTAAGCATTATAGAACAATGAATAGACATATGAGAGAAATGTTAATAGGAGAGACAAACAATTAGAGTAAGCTATATCATAGGCCCACAGAGAAATGTTAATAGGAGAGACAAACAATTAGAGTAAGCTATATCATAGGCCCACAGAGAAATGTTAATAGGAGAGACAAACAATTAGAGTAAGCTATATCATAGGCCTACAGAGAAATGTTAATAGGGGAGACAAATAATTAGAGTAAGCTATATCATAGGCCTACAGAGAAATGTTAATAGGAAAGACAAACAATTAGAGTAAGCTATATCATAGGCCTACAGAGAAATGTTAATAGGAGAGACAAACAATTAGAGTAAGCTATATCATAGGCCTACAGAGAAATGTTAATAGGAGAGACAAACAATTAGAGTAAGCTATATCATAGGCCCACTCATGACAACATATTAAACGATTCAAACGAAAAAACTCAAAATTATTTCTTATTCTAAAATATAAAGTTTGTTTAATTAATTGTTTTCGCAAACAAAGCGGAATTTTCAAGCATGGCGTATTTTGCTCTTTTTGGATGTTTTTTTTTTCAGTGAATATTCTCATTATACAAAGTTACACGGTCTCATGTTGCATCAAACCGATGATCAGTTAGTGTACAATAATAGGCTAGGAGTTTAAAGCTCAATATATATATATTTATGTTTTAATGCACTTTGTTTTTAACAAGCACACAATACTAATGTGCTAAAATGCTCCAGCTATTTTGAAAGCATGTGTACACAATTGAGCACATGCAATAATATACTAGTACACTACATTGTAAAACTTTTCTTAATAAATACAATGAAACAAACACAATGTTTGGGTAATGAATGGCGCAGTGACCACCTCAAAATTTATTATCATATACAAAATATCTCCTCTGCCTCAATGTCCATCAAACTAAAATAAACACAAAGGACACTGCATGGCACAATCTTGAATGTGTTCTGTAACAAAATAATCTACAAAATAAATACAACACGTTTAAGATACTTAAACTATTTAAAAACAAAAGTACAAAACATTTGTGAAAGCACCATTAAACGTCCGCTAGTGTGGCCACTACCCAATCCGCGATAATTAGCTTTTATATTGACCGCCAAACCGAAAAACAACAATTGTTAAACATCCTATTCGCACTCCCCATGATTACAGTTCGACACTAACAATAATTTTATACTAACCGAAATTAATTTGCTACCATAATCATGATTAAAATATTTTTTCTTGTAGGAGGTGAAATCACTTCAGATGTGTGAACAATATGATATTAATGAAAATACCACTTGCTGTGCACCTGTTTGTTCAAAACTCGGTTTGAATGGGTCATGTGATTTTCAGTGTCCACTCGGAATGCATCTGATTTCATCACAAATGTATCCGGAGACGTGTAATTTATCTATTAGCTTGATTAATACAATTAAAAACATGTGCGTCTTGTCTTGTCCTAAAGACTTTGTACAAATAACAATAGTTAATACGTCTACCTGTTTGGAATGTGATATATTTTGTGCCATCGACTTTGGGTTCAATCAGTTACCGAGTAATTGTATTTGTCTGGAGGAGACAACATTGCCAACTTCATTGTTTGAAACTACTGAATTACCTCTACAAACTACCTCCGTCTTGTATACAAATACTGTTTTGAAAAGCAGTGCTCTATCTTTAACAGTACTTATTATATCTGGGAGTGCTGGATTGGCCTTAATTGTAGCTATAGTATCTGTTTTCTGCTGCTTCCGGTGGAGAGCTAAATTCTACAAACTACAAAAGACGATGCAAGTACCAAATGTAAGCCATAATAAAAGTAGTATTAAAAAATCCCCCTTTCTAACCGGTGTCTGTGACCGTCTTGAACTTGCAATTAGGTGTGAATTTTTTTCTACGTGTTGTCGAAAGCCTCATTGACACTTTGAAACAACGAAGAACGGTAATAAAAGCGCTGTTCATTTGATTTGCCTTTGATTTTTTCATGTATGCGTAGGTTTTTTGTATTTAATTGATACACCATTTGCATTCTTTTCCATTAATGACCATTTTTAATCATTATTCCTACCTTATGTACTTCCCCTCGTTCATTTATTAGTGTGAGGGCCTCGGCGGCCGAGTGGTCGAACTACTGTTTTACTAGCCTGTCAACACTGAGGTTGTGAGTTCGAATCCCGCCCCTGGCAGGTGCGCTCGACTCCAATCTTAGTTCACTTCCTACCGAAGGTCAGTGGTCCGGCTTCCTTCACCAATAAAAACTGACCGCCACGAGTTAGCACAATAGTGCTGGAAGTGGCAATGATGTTTCTGTTTTCATTCAAAGTTATAAAACACATTTTCTCCGACGGATGATTTGCTCGCCGATGAGGGATTCTTCCATGGGAAAACACATCTTTTTCTTATTCAACAACAATATTGCACACGCTGTTAACAGTTATACTCCACTGACACAGCTATTTAAGTGACGGTCCCTGTTTTATTAGTACAAGAAGTTCCGCAAACTACAGGTAGATAAACTGCATCAAACTCCGAAACAGCGGTTACGTCCTCCTTACTGACGCTACGTTGACTTTAACGATAGTTTAGCGAAGCAACGTCACCACTGTTTCGGAGTTTGAAACTGCATATTGTTAGTCTTTTACAAAAATATCAATGTAACATCAATATTAGATAAAAATTGTTATTATTAAAATATATTTATATTATTTGGCGTTAAAAGGCAAGAGATTATCGGAATGTACATGATGTAATAGCTCAATCGAGATATGGATAGTTTATAACATATTATCAATTTCCATGTGTTTCCGGTTACCACGTTTGTTTTTAATCAATTTTGGAATAGATGTGTATAAACACATAGAAGACACATCTTTACGACTCGTCAAGATGGATTTAGGCTTGAATTGTACATTTTTATTTACTGTAGTAGCATAAAAAAAAAGTTATAAAAACAAACAGCTGTTCGGCACGGAAACATGTGAATTACAAACACATGGAAATAACCCTCATCCAACCTTAATAAGTTCCGAATAAGATCTGTTTCAAATATGTATATAGCCTAAAAGTTCCCAATTCTCTTTATTTGTTTAAAACCCCATATATAAGATTGTACTTGTGTTGCGTGTTATTATTCTGTCAGTAAATGTGTTCAATAGACATTGAGCGTAATACCTTTGTATATAATGAATGATCATAGCAATTATAGTTTTTTCTTCGTTCTTCAATGTACATAAGCTGATATTTTAAATAACTATTACAACGTTTTCATAAATTAACAAAATATAAGGAATTCATTACAAAAATAAAGAACTGATCTGAATAAAAACCACCATATATCTGTGACATAGCCCATTTACTATTCCCTGACCTTAAACGCAATGTACTATCACATATAGCTAATGAAACTTAATCATTTTACAGAAGATTAAATTGTCGAACACTTCCTCCAACCTAGACCATGATATAGAAGCAGGAAATACGTATACAGAAATACAAGGAAATACTTACACACCGATCGATTCTGAGGTATTACCATAGACATATAGCCAGTTTACCACAATAACACTTTATTCATTTTGGTGTGTCTTAACCGCTGTTCCAAATTTACATTTATGAGGGGCCTGATGGGGGGGGGGGGGGGGGGGGGGGGGGGGGGGGGGGGGGGGGTCTCATCACGATTCACCAGTTGTTTTTTTTGTCAATCACGATTCACAGAAAATAAATTTCCATGATCACGGATCACGAAAATATGAAAAAAAAAATAAATCTGTAGAAAAACGGATCACGATAGCGAAAATGCGCCGATCACGAAGAACGATATTAACCCATCAGGCCCCTCATTTATCAGGAACGCTCAAACACAAAAACTGGAAATCCAAGGATGACCATCTGACACATTACAACGTATATCATCCGTTTGTGGAATAACCTACACCATTTCGTAAAATTGTAGTGACCCCCTCCCCCTTCTTTAAAAATAAGTTTCCTCATTTCCCTTTCGTGATTATATATCTACTTAACTGAATTTTTTTCTAACACCAGAGTCTCTTTGTGAAATGATGGGATAGTTTTATGTTTAAAATGATTATTAAAGGGTAATTCAACAAATTAAAACAAATACCAATCAAGTCGACAGTGGAGATTTTTACCTGTCGGTACGGTAGTCTTCCGCCATCTTAGATTGTAAAAAAGCAGAACGCAATCGGTCTAGATCTTCAACTAAAAGTACAAGAGAAGAATGTAATTAATTTGTTAGACTTTTTATCTAAACGAAGAATAATATGTGTTTTATTGTATTTTTTTCAACTGTATTGTACAAATACAAAATACTTCTTGTTTTAATTTGTTTCAACTTTGCCATATAAGGGGAGATAATACCATCGTCTTTCTAAAAATACAAATTAAGTCGACAGTGCAGATTTTTCTGTCAGTCATTTTTTGGTTTAACTGATGTTTCATACCTGCCTTATAAAAACGTATATTTTTAGTTTCAAGAATCAGTTACCGGTATTTACTTGTATATTTATATTTATTAAAACCAATATGTCATTTAAAACGTAATCAATATACCATGCTTTAGGGAGCTACCATTTGATTTTTATGGCGGGGGGGCAGCTAGGAAGAAAAATTTTGTCCTGCATTTTTTTTTAGTTGTAATCTCTGTCATGCCTTTTTATTTTTCACTCTATTCGGTCCTGCATTTTTTTTTTTATTAATTTATCCTAACTTTTTTTACATAAATTGTCATCCTGCCTTTTTTTTTTTGCCAAGTTGCTCATCCTGCCTTTTTTTTTTACCCAAAACTCCTGTCCTGCCTATTTTTTCAAATTTCATCCTAGCCCCCCATAAAAATCAAATGGTAGCTCCCTTATCATAAAGTTAGACCAAATTGCTGAATGGTCCTATTGCATTAACCATTAAAATCTTGGTGTAAAAGCACACAATCATCAGACAGACGCCTTCGTGTGGTTGTAATTAAAACATACAATTTGTAAATTGTAGAGTAAAATGAAAATTATTCATTTGTTGTAGAATTCTGAACCTGTCAATATTAATACAACAGGAGAGGACATTTGTGCATATGCATGTATCTGTGATGAAATAAAGGGAACTGAGGTATATAAACATTTGTTCATAAGTATCTGATTCAATGATTGATTGTTGCTTGCTTAACGTCCAGTGGCAAACATTTCATACATATTTGGGACGTCATAGTTTTATGACAATGTTGTTGGTCGCTAAACGTCTAGTGGCAAATATTTAATGCATATTCGGTAAGTCATAACCATTGGTTTATGACATAATAATCAAATACTTTATTTCTTAGACGACATAGCCATTGAAATACATGCAGAAAGTGACAGCAGTACTGTAAAATCAAGAATAATTGCCATGTTTGTTTTATTGTAAAATAATTAACACAGGACAAACGTTTCAATACAGTACCTTGTCTCACGTTTCACGTTTGACTAGTATAGAGTACTAACTTAATTTAACTCGACAGAAATCGCATTAACTAATTTCGTATCATTGTCGGTCGCCGAAGATTCGTAATAATAGATTATACTAGCCTTTGTTAGTCTTGTATTATTTTTAATTTTAGTTTCTTGTGTACAATTTGGAGTTTAGTATGGCGTTCATTATCACTGAACTAGTATATATATTTGTTTAGGGGCCAGCTGAAGGACGCCTCCGGGTGCGGGAATTTCTCGCTGCATTGAAGACCTGTTAGTGACCTTCTGCTGTTGTCTGTTCTATCGTCGGGTTGTTGTCTCTTTGACACATTACCCATTTCCATTCTCAATTTTATCTTATATTATAGCATTTATATTTGCGGTTGTAACTTGTGCTAATAGCATTTATTTCATTTCAGAATTTACAGAATTTTTCCAATGGAGCAAATGGATTTTCTGTTGAGGAAAATCGATATGAAGAACTTCCATGTAGGGTTAAGACAAAAGAAACACAGGTTAATACACTTTTACACCCACCCGGATGACCTGAGATCACCCCGGGTTTTTGGTGAGGATTCGTGTTGCTCTGTCTTTAGTTTTCTAGATGGTGTTTTGTATACTGTGGTTTGTCTTTTGATAGTTTTTCATTTTATGCCATCGCGTTGACAGTTTATCATCGATTTATGAGTTAGAATATCACTTTGGTATCTTCCACTTTTCTTTTACACCGCTGTCCTATTGTTATAAGTCAAAATACATGAAAGGACGAAGGACACTTATGCGAACATGGAAACTTCTGATAAACATTTCCTCTTTAAAGCCCATTTAAGCGTCGAAATAATCCGCTAATCCTTATTTTCAAAACCTTACGTTTTAAGGACAATAACTCCAAAATAGTTTTCCAATTTTTCAGATATTTTTTTTCAAAGTTTACGACGAAGAGACGATGCCGAGGACAACGGTCGCCAAGTAATGACAAAAGCTCATATGGCCTAGCTTAAAACCAAACAACAGTTAATTTTACTAAATTTTTCCTAATTAATGTATAATACATTTAAGGCCCAGATATTTTGTACCCATGTCAAGTAAACTAAAATTATCAATATTCAGTAAAGTGAAAGAAATTTAATTCATGTTTACTTATTTACTACATAAAAAGTAGTATGATACACTTGTAAGTTTATTCTTTCTATATAGTCATGCTTGACAGTAGATTTCATGCCCAGAATTAGATTGACGATGGTTGTGCTTAACGTCTCTTTCTAAAAATAGACATATTGAGGTCGTTCGTTTGCAAATGTTCTTAATTCGTAATCTAAAACTCTGTACATCAGAACGTTAAGCAGAGGAATTATTTATATCTTACTCGGAACTATTTCACGGAAGACACCAAAATGAACTGTCACGCAAAAAGAAATATTCACATTGCCGCTTGCTCAATGTGGACGCGGGGGTAACATGAGACGTTATTTGCACAAGTACAAATAAAGCAATAATTTATTTGTGCACTTTTTTTTGTGCAATATTTGGCTGATTGCAGGATACATTATTATTCGTGGATTTCATGAGAATAGAAGAACCACGAATTTCAATGTTCGATGAAGTACAAATTGTCTTATAGGCTTGTATGCAGACTTTGGCAAAACCACACAATCAAATATACACGAAAATACAATGTTCCCTCAATAAACTTTTAGTTCCATTATTCTCTATGATTAATATTTTTGCTTTTTTCCTCTATTCGTTATATTTTTTAGCCATTATTCTGTATTCTGTAAACCCCATCAAGACCCTCATAAAGATCTTTATATGAAGAATTGATGTATAATTGTTGAAAACTGTATTTTTCTTACTCATTGCATTCCAAATTTGATACTTTCTTGACATAATTATCAGTGTAATTATTGTTTCAACACATTTTTGAATTATTGCTTGATCTCATTTAATTCACAAAACGCTATAATGTAAATAATAATTCTGTATTTTAAGTTCGCTCAAAGTACCCAAAACGAATATGTAAGGACTAAAAAGAAAGGTAGGCACAAACAACAGTCAAGACAACAACAAAAGACAACTGCGGACGATAACAAATATATTTCCGTACATGGACTAAAGAGACAAGAAGCAAAAGAAGTTGTTCAGGAAAATTCAAATACTCTACAAATTCCTAGGAACGATTCTCACTTGTCTACAGCTAAATATGAATCGATGCATGTTAGTGACAAAATTGACATAAATAAATCACCTGACACTGCCAAAAGGCAAGAGATGGGATCAGATTTTGTCCGAAATGTTCCCCAATCTACTACTAAAGACCAAGGCGTTGGTAATAGTCTAGACCTGTCTACTGTAACTATAAAAAGTAATAGTACTGACGAGGAGAAAAGTAACATTATATCACAAAAACATACCATTCTGGCGCGAAATAATCAAACAGACGTTTACGAAACTATGGATAACGTGAAAACTAACGCTAAAACAACAGACCAATCAGCTTCCAGAATGGTAAAAAATGCAAGTGAGTGCAATGCAGCTGCGTTTAAAGAACCTTATCATTCAGAAACATTGGATATTCCCCCAGAATCAGTTGGCGATCTCAATCTGCGCAGCAATAGTTTAGAAGATGCGTACTCGTTCAATTTTATACCTTTTAAGAAAACATCTTCAAATCCTGTAGGTATTAATCCTCCGAATAAAAGGATGGAAAAACCAAAGGACAAGAAGTTCGATGCATTTGAAAATATATTCCCAAACACCACGGGAAATATAATGCCTGAGGAACAAGTGTACGAAAATACAACAATATTTCGCAAACCAACTTGTTCGAAAACTAACACTAAAATCGAGTCTACGTTTTCTAATAATGATAATCTTACAGTTCAGAATAAAGATGAGAAAGAGATTCTTATTAGATGTCATTCTAATGGAGAAAATGAATCAGAGGTGATTAAAGCTGCAGCAATTGCAGAATGTCATTCTAACGGAAAAAGTGAATCACAGGTGTTTAAAACTGCAGATGTTGCAGGGTGCCAATTAAACGGAAAAAGTGAATCAGAGGTGTTTAAAACTGCAGATGTTGTAGGGTGCCAATTAAACGGAAAAAGTGAATCAGTGGTGTTTAAAGTCGTAGCCATTGCAGGGTGCAACTCCGATGATGAAATAGAATCGGAAAACCTTCAAGCTGTAGCCATTGCAGGGTGTCAACTCAATGGAGAAATGGAATTAGAGGACTTTAAAACTGCAGAATCCCGTTTGAAGCATTGCGCATCGTTTCAAAATAAACTTAAACAAAGACTTGAAAAGTTGAACAAAAATGGCGACAGTGAATCATCTGATGAGGAAACTTTTTAAACATTAATTTCAAACCATTTATAAAAGAAAATAATATGAAATCTGCTGTATATTCAAATTAATGCAAAGACTATCTTAAGGATGTTCTCTGATCTTCCTTTTGACAGATTTTCGGAATCCTCTGGTTTTATCCATATGTCATTAAAAATTAATCCCGCTAACCCCTACTTTTTCTTTTCATAATTTTATTACAAATAGTTTAAAAAGTAATTTATTAAATCTTATAACATCCTTGTTATATTTTCATAGTTTTTGAAAGAAAAAAAGGTGTTAATTTTAAATGCATGAAAACTCTAGAGAGAATCATTTCCCGCCAAATTTCCAATGGCTTATAACTCAAAAATAAGGACAAGAACCTTTCTCGAAGCTACATACATGTACTATAATTTTAGTATAAACACGTATATTAGTACTGAATCAAGGAAACCAAAGCAAAAGATCAGAGGTCTCTTAATCTTACGGTTTATGACCGAATAACACTGACATACCGCATACAGGTCAAATGCGTAAATGTAATAACTTATAATATATATAGGAGTTGACCGTTAATATAAGTTATATGGTTCGCTAATGACCCCCTGCGGATCCTTCGGCCTCACCCCCTATGGGTTTTACTAACCCTCTATGGATCCGTAGGGGGCCAGTAACGAACCGTATAACGAATTTATCGCACGCGGGACTTTTTCTGCCGCGTTTTGTAGACCAATAAAGAATGCATGATATACAACAACATCAATAGATGACGTCACCATTAACAGTACACGTGACGTCATGAACCCCCTATGAAATTTACTAAACCCCCTACGGATCCATAGGGGTCACCACGTGACGGCGTTTAAACAATCACAACGTCATAATTTACCCGTGGTGCGATAAAAATCAGTATCATCTAAAATTGTTCGTTAATAAAATTGAGAAAGTAAACGGGGAATGTGTCAAAGAGACAACAACACGAACAAAGAGCAAAAAACAGCCCAAGGCCACCAATGGGTCTTCAACACACAGAGAAAATCCCGCATTCAGAGGCGGGCTTAAGCTGGCCCCTAAACAAACATGTGTACTATAAAAATATACAAGAAGGCCAGTGGTTCCTGACTTGGGACAGGCGCTAAAATGCGGCGGGGTTAAACATGTTTTGTGATATCTCAACCCTCCCCTGTACCTCTAGCCAATGTAAATAAACAAATACAATGAACAAATACAATTGCAATACACACAGTAAAACTCAGTTTAAAAGAAGTCCGAGTCCGATGTTAGAATAGGTAACAGAAGAAACTAAGCAAAATGACAATGATAAACATAAATTAACACAGGACTACTATCAGTTACTGACATGCCAGCTCCAGACCTCAATTAAACTGATTGAAAGATTATGTCTTCATCATATGCAAATCAAGCACAATACCTCCCGTTAGGGATTTAGTATCATACCATCATAAAATATACGAGAAGAACATAACCCGTATCATGCCAACAACTGGTTTTAGAATAAATGTGATTATTTCCGATGCAAAGACCCTATGATTGAATCAATATTAATTGTAAATCAAAGTACTGAAGTACTGAACATCGGATGACCGCAGGTTCTTGTGGATGGTCAAAAGCACATGTCACAGAAACAGATCACATCTCTATACCTGAAACTGAGATTAATTTACAGAGATTTTTTTTCTTATACAAGTTCGTGCTTGGATGATGAATAAATGACAGGAAATTCAACCTCACCGTAATAACTATTATATTGTAGTGATACACATCAGTATACCTTAAGACTATTATACTAATATAATAATAGTTCCAGAGAATACACTGGTTTGTTGTTATATATTATATTAATATTACGGTTGCATGTATATATAATTTTCATCTATTTGTATGTCATACTATTCTACTATTATTATAGTGTAATGCAAGTGCATGGTGGACACTCTTCTGTAAAAAAAAATCAAAGTCTTAAAGGCTGTAAAAGCAATTGCTGCCATGTTAATGTTTTGTGGACTTTTATTTTTCATCCATATATATAAGAATTAAACCTGACAGGACAGGAGTGTTGACTAGTGAGAAGCAAGACGGTTTTAACTTTATATCAATATAAGACTTTAGCAGGAAATCATTTTAAATATGTTTTATATTTTACAAGGAGACAACAAGTTTACCAGGCTAAAGTTGGGGTTAATTATACATGTGCTGAAACATATAACTGAAAAAAAAATCATTATGGATTATCCCCTGGTAGTGTTTGTAACTGGGCAATAATTTCCTTTATTGATTTAATTTAACCATTTTCATAATTAATTTAAATTAACCATTCAGTTAAAACATTTCAACTTTCCAGACGCTAATGTTGAAAAACGGGACAGAAATAAAATATCTTACAAGACATAAACATGTAAAAAAATAAATATATATTTCAGCTTACTAAAAATATTTTCATAATGTTACTTTGATATCATTTCTTAAAACTAAGTCCCAAACATAATTGCTCAGTTGACATGTGTCATCCTCATGCGATACGAGATAACTATAATTCTGATGCAATCCCGAAAAGGGGGGTCATCACAAACAAACATGACATCAAATTGTCATTATACGAACTAGAACAAACAGCTCTATGTTGCTTTGATATTTATCAATTTTCAGGAAACATGTGAAATAAATTTCAGGTCCATTTCATTATAGTGCCTAACAAGATTGTGTGAGGTAGACGAAATTGACCTTAAAACGATCGTATTGTCTTTTGATGTCCAAAAATAGGCAGATCGGACATATACGGACTTTATCTAATGACTACATAAATTTGGGATTTATTATTATTATAATATTCTAATGAAACTGAAAATTGTATTTTTTTTAGGATAAACAACAATTTTACCTGGCGTAGCCGTTCATAAATGTTTTTCTGCATTTATCTTCGAAAAATGGCGTATTTAATGGAATAGAACGTTAATACAGTAAACTTTCTCTTTTTTCTCCGCAATAGGCTATCAGAAATAATTTATCTAATGTGTATGTGGAAAATTATGTGAAAAGATAAAAAGTGGCAATTGTTACCTTTCATACCTTAAGTTTCGTTCATCTGATTCTGACCAAATCACGGCTTATATACTAAATATCTATTTATATGCCGCTATTATTGTTGTTGTTACCAATTATGTAAATCAATTGTATCTGATTTTATGCCCTTTATGGGCCCTGTAATTTGGGAAATAAAAAAAAATCTATTCATTGATAAAACGTAATATGGACTGGTCCAGTGTCCAGTTTGCAGGTCATTTAATTTTCTGTACACATTCATGCACGCTCTGATTTAATCAATATACTCGTACGAAAAAGCATGAACAGTTTGAAGGTAATCTAATAATAACTTAATCCAATCAAATTGCATAAGATTCAATAACAATGTCAAGTCCATCATAATGAGTAATAGAGGTAAACTGGGTAGGGAGAAAATGACAGATATTTCAAGTTAATATTTATGCAATAACGAATTAAAATTTGTCAACCAAAAGTTTTGCTACAATTTCAAAAACATGGCGTTCTGTATGGGTATAGTTTTCGGATCTTTCATTAGCGTATTTAAGGCTATAAAAAGTTTGGGCTTCAAAAGTTCACACAATTATTGACTTTATACAGAAAATTCGTCCTTGTAAAACATTTAATAGTTCACAAATGATACGCGATTTTAAAGTAAAATTATTTCTTAAAACACTGCAAAAAATTTCATTCATATTGATAAAGTGGTATCGTCATAAAGTGCGTTGAAATGAACTGTGGTATAGCAAACATCGAATTCCCTCACAAAATGTTATCACACACTACAGTAAGGGGAGTCAGTTAAGTTTGTCTATTTTTTGATACTATACAGGTAATCTTTTGACACTACGTATACAACCTGTGTGACCTGTGTAGTGATTTTGATTTTACGATAAATTCATGAATGAACGATAATTTTATGAATGAACATGAGCACCTGACCTCTTTCTTAAACACCTATTAAACATATAAAACCGTATTTAATAAGGAGATAATTCAGTCAAATTTTCAGTACTAAATCAACAACTGAAATGATTCCATTTTTTGATGAAACATCGTACGAACGGAGAACGGAATCGCAGGTATAAAAATGCACTTTTTTCCCTTGTAATGACCGCGGATCTATAATTTTTATAGATCGGTTGAAATCCCAAAACTAATTTGCATAATGGAAATTTAGGCGATAGCAATACATCGGAGTGACCTCAAGGTCATCCTCTGTAAAAATGCCATCTTTAATGACCTGACAACAGTATCGTAACTATATCCCTTCTGAATAAGTCTGTTTAAAGGTTTGGTTAGCTTTTGAGGTGAAATACGACATTTTTGTGCTTTGTATAGAATATTGCCATAAAAGATTGGATATGAACGTATAAGATGTCTGCACGTTGATTCATATTTACGAATAATGTCCTTGTATCGATGATAAAATTTAGTAAATATTTGTGATATCGAAAACCCTATCAAATACGTTGTTACATACACGAGCGAATCGAACAAGTTTAGATATATAAAATCCATAAGATGATGGCAAGGGAACGTCACCATCTTAAAATGAATAATTAACAATAGGAAATGAAAAATCATCTCTTTTATCGTAAAGGAGTAGTGCCGAATGGACCCCTTTTTGGCCCCAAAATATAGCATTGCAAAAATTTGTTAAATATATAAACTGTTAGCTATTCATTGGAAAGGAGAATACTTTTGTTACATAAATATGGGCTGTTTTTTACAATACAATGCACATGCATCGGATACTAGCATCATTACTGAATTCAGGCAAAATTACTGAAATCTTCACAATTTTTGCAATTGTGCTTATTTTTAGACGGTTTTTGTCTAAAATGAAAGTGGCCGCACTTGTGTTCAGTCTTAATATTAGAATATATGTTGTATTTGATAATGATACATACACAATGTAACATATGTAAAGGTTGAGACTGAACACGAATGCGGCCACTTGCATTTTAGACAAAAACCATCTGAAAAGTGACGTTTTGTGGCATATTTGATAGATTTTTCATATTTAAGCTTGAATTTAGGCGTCTTTAATGACCAATTCAGTTCAAATATTTTACATTTACTAATTGAATCGACTGAAGTAGACACTTGAGTGTTTAAGAAATGTCAAAAATCTTTCATCAAATGTACTTCGAATTTTAGGCCGAAATCAGCCCTTACCGGACCTTCTCCTTTGG